TTCAGTAATGGTCAACAAAATTTTCATCAACTGGACAAACAAAATTTTCAAACATATATCAACCTCCAGTTTAACTTTTTCAGGTTGCTATGACCCATCCTATGGCCGTTACCAACTGCAACATTGATATGGAAAGTTTAATTTCCGACCAAAATAGAAGCATTGCTACACTTGCAATCACCACACTTCTGAAGACAGGAAATGAATCAAGTGTGGATCGTTTAATGAAGCAGATAACAAATTTCATGTCGGATATTGCTGATGAGTTCAAAATTGTTGTAGTGGAAGCAATAAGATCTTTATGCTTGAAATTTCCCTTGAAATACAGAGCTTTGTAAGTGATGTACTTATGTTATAATTCACAGAGTAGGATATAGTAGATGCCTGCTTTTTGGATATTGGATTTAGGATTCTAGCATATTCTTTTTAGCCAGCACAGTTTAAATATTTTGGTCCTTGCTTTTTTTCCAGGATGAACTTTCTAAGCAATATTCTTAGGGAAGAAGGTGGATTCGAGTACAAGAAGGCAATTGTAGATTCAATTGTGATCCTCATCAGAGACATCCCCGATGCAAAGGAAAGTGGGTTACTTCATCTGTGCGAGTTCATTGAAGATTGTGAATTTACTTATCTTTCAACACAGGTGGCACTCTTCTCCATCATTAGTATGTTGCTCTATTTCTTAAGCACTTTTTTCTCCTAATCTAGGTTGATTTTATTTTTGCATTCTTCTATTACTAGATACTCCATTTTCTGGGAATTGAAGGCCCAAAAGCATCAGATCCAAGCAAATATATAAGATACATCTATAACCGTGTGCATCTTGAGAATGCAACTGTTAGAGCCAGTGCAGTTAGCACACTAGCAAAGTTCGGGGCTATGGTTGATTCATTGAAGGTATTATTATGTTGTTTCCCTACTTTCACAACTGCTGTTGAATCTTGTGTCAATCTTTTCTTAATGATTGAGGAAAAACTCACCGAATTCTCTATTGCAGCCTCGCATATATGTTCTGCTAAAGCGTTGTCTCTATGATAGTGACGACGAGGTGTGTTCCCTTGTCAATAAATTGTTTGTGGAGATTTTTGTTAGAATATACACGTTCACTTCCATGTATTCTTTGTTAGTGCTGGTGGTTCCTTTCTGCCCATAGTATCATGTTGCTTCTTTTTTTCATTTTCTTTTTCTTTTTTTTAAAGCTTTTGAAGGTCCAATTTACATGTCTTTCGCCAACATTTACATGCTTTAGTTCTTTTTAAGTGTGCTGCCTTGTGTGCAGGTTCGTGACAGGGCTACACTTTATCTGAATACACTTGGCGGTGATGGTGTCTCTGCTGAAGCCAATGAAGATGCAAAGGCTTTTCTTTTTGGGTCCCTGGATGTTCCTCTTGTCAACTTGGAGAACAGCCTGAAAAATTATGTAAGTTTCCTTCAGAATCTGTTTTTGTTTTCACCTCTTGAGGTCATTGCTTCATGCATCAATGGGTACAGGAGCCATCAGAAGAACCTTTTGATATCAATTCTGTGTCAAAGGAAGTCAGGTCTCAGCCACTTGCTGAGAAGAAAGCCCCAGGTAAAAAGCCAACTGGCCTTGGTGCTCCTCCAAGTGGCCCTGCATCCAGTGTTGATGCTTATGAAAGACTGCTTTCCTCTATTCCTGAATTTGGCGGCTTTGGCAAGCTTTTCAAGGTTACGTGGCTTGAATTTCTTTACAATGCATATGTTCTGCAATCTTGTTGGACATTACCGGCGAATTGGATCTTAAAATGATGTTTTATTTTTTTATTTTGCAGTCTTCTGCACCTGTGGAATTGACAGAAGCAGAAACAGAATATGCTGTTAATGTTGTCAAGCACATTTTTGATAGGCATGTGGTGTTTCAGTATAACTGTACCAACACAATTCCTGAGCAGTTACTGGAAAATGTAATAATTGAATTAGAGACCATAAATTCAACATTCAGAACAAGTACTTGGGACTTTCTTGATGATTTTTTCTCTATGTTGCTAGGTCATGGTTATTGTGGATGCTTCAGAAGCAGAGGAATTCGCTGAAGTGGCATCCAAGCCCCTAAAATCTCTCCCATATGATTCACCTGGTCAAACTTTTGTGGCATTTGAGAAGCCAGAAGGTGTTCCTGCAGTTGGGAAATTCTCGAACATGCTCAGGTTCATTGTTAAGGAGGTAAATTTCTTCCCTATGAACGATATGGTGCTTTCTACCCTTTCCTTCATCTCCTTAAGAAAAAAAAGTCTTCAGGATGAAATTGCCTACTTCTAAGTTTTGGATCTGGACATTTTGTTATTTAAAGATACAAATCAGTCTCATAAAAAAACTGCATCAAAGAAGAAAATGTTCATATCTTATTTGCTGAGGGCTTCTACAGGTTGATACAACAACTGGTGAGACAGAGGATGATGGTGTGGAAGATGAGTACCAGCTGGAGGACCTTGAGGTTGTGGCAGCTGATTATATGATAAAAGTTGGTGTCTCCAATTTCAAAAATGCTTGGGAAAGCATGGGTCCAGATTGTGAGCGAGTGGATGAATATGGCCTTGGCCCAAGGGAAAGCCTGGCAGAAGCAGTAAGTGCTGTCATTGATCTTCTTGGCATGCAGCCATGTGAGGTACGGCCTTATTGCAAGTTTATTTATTTATTATTATTATTTTGCATTTGCATTTGAACGTTTGAAATCTAGTTGCCACATGGAATGCAAAAAGATCATGAAATATAGCCTGAACATGCCTAACATGCATTTCTGGATGGTATAATCTGTTTTACCATGTGACTTAAGTACAGAAGAGCAGACTTCCAGTTTCATTAAATTGCAGCAAGTGTGTTAGTGTTTGATGCCTAGATGGTTCAGTTATGCATGTAACCAAGTTATATCCAAAAGCTGATTCTTTTCTAATTTTCTTGTGTTGTTCAGGGCACAGAGGTTGTCCCCAACAATTCAAGGTCACACACATGTATACTGTCTGGTGTATACATAGGTAACGTCCGGGTGCTTGTGCGATTGCAATTGGAATCGACGGTCCCAAGGAGGTTGCAATGAAACTTGCTGTTAGATCTGATGATGCATCCGTTAGCGATGCCATTCATGAGATTGTAGCAAGCGGCTAGTTGATCCATACATGATTCTTTTTTCTTTTTGGGCCTTCATTGGTCCTCTCTCTTTTTTGAACAAGACCAGAAGCGGATGGCTACAAAACAGAACCATGTAGAAAAGGTTTTGAGAACCCCTTGGGTTGAGGTGTTAGGATTAATGGGGCATTCTTTTTCCTTATCTGTGTCTTTTTCTTTAAAGGTCGTCTGTTAATCTGGCAATAATTCTATTGTATCATGCGAGTCAAGTTTATAGGAATATTTTCTTTTTCTTCATTTTAAACATTCTGTGGGATTCAGTATAGGTACCATGAAGCTGGGGTGATATGAAATGCTTGTTAATTTTGTTAGATTCTTGTTGTGCTTAATACGAACAGTACCTTAAGGTTTTTTATTTTTTCTCTCTTTTTTTTTTTTTATATTACTGCATGCACTTTTTCCCAAAAGTTAATGTATGCATTTTGCCGGTTTCTTCTATTTGAATTTGCCCAAGGAGCTGATCAAGTTATGCCCAAATACAATTGTTTTATTCTCGTTTACACACTGGAAATAAATCGTCAGAAAGTATAGTGGAAGTCAGTTTTGTGGTACATCATGTTATAAGAATTCAAGTTATCAAAAAGATTAACTCAAAAAAATAAAAAAGAAAGGTTTGTTGTAAAAAGTTAAAACTCTGGCAGAGCAGCAACTTTTTTGTACGCTATGCCCATTATTTATTGTCATTTCATGTCAAAATTCAGTCCCCGATTCATCTAAATTATATATGCTGTGACAAAGGCCTCTTCATTTGTTACATTTATTATTATTGCTCAGCTGTTTTCTGAGATGCTGTTGGAAATAGTTTAATGTTCACAAATCACTGTCTTATTTATTTATCCGCGTGCGCAACTTTTTAAAGTCTCTTTGAAGTCATACTCTTTCAGCTGTTTCAGTTCAATTCTCAGAGAATCCTTGCAAAATTACAGTCGGTATATAAAATTATCATAATTTTTATATTTAAATCAAATTTGCTCTTTAAAATTTTTCAGGGCATAAACTTGTAGAATTCTCGCTTTAGTCATTTAAGGTAAAGTTGAATATTAGAACTCTTCATAGAATCATGTAAGGTATTGTGTAAAATAACTAAAGAATAAAATACTAATTCAAAAACTGGGTGTTCTTAATCTAAATGTCTCATTGATGAAAACAAAATTGAAACCACAGACCTGAATCACCAAGCAAACAGGAGAAAAGAAGAGGTATAAGTATAACCTTGATTGGCAAGGATTAGTCCATAACTATAGAGTCAGCATAACATTCAAAGCTAATATGTGACGGCAAAGGTGAAGTTTGGCGTGTCAACTGGCTGATATAAGGTGTACAGCCATATGTTTTTCTTGTTTAGTCTTTAATGATGAACTGGTGGTAAATGCAATAGCTGGAAATGAATTGAATAGCCCAGAAGTAGAAACAATGGCATAGAGAAATCTCAATTTGTTCATTAAATTAAAGATACATGTTGTAAGAACTGCCAAGTACATAGGAACAATAATCAGGCAAAAGATACTTCACGCACAGTGCTATGCAAAGCTGATAAACCAAGAAATGGCTTCTCCTAACTGTTCCAAGTTCTGTACTAACTTTTCAGTTCCTCACATGAGGATTACAAGTTGCATAACATGATAATGTTTTTTAAATCACATAACTATTGACAAGAGGAATCTTCAGGAAGCATGACACACCAAAGAAAATGTGATTGTTGGCTTGAGGTTTAAGTTTTCAGCAGATAGATGATAGACTGCATTCTCCTCTGATAATCAAATTACTCTTCTATGCCCTCCAAAAGCCCAAATCTATCACGGAGAATTGACGTATGAGAAAAATCCAATTTATTACCACAAAAAAACTAAAAGCTTGTGTCTAATAACATCCTAGGAATAAAGACTAAAAATGGAAACAAGATATTTCCCTGCTGTAGGACAACTTCCCTTTCAAACATATACAGCCTGCCTATGACATCAAATTTCCTAATGTTGCAAATTGAACACTAAATTGCATGATTACATGCAATCATGACATTTTAGATACAAGTTAAATTAATGGATTTGCAGTTCTCTTCATAGAGAACCCACTAACAGAGCCAAATAAGAGATCCACAACAAAAAGCCAATTATTTGATCCTTGGACCAACTGATAGTAAGCCAAAAAGATCCACAAAAGACATAACGCTTGTCAAGCTTCATAAAGCAGCCATGCCATTGATGATATCTTTCCATATTTTACATCATCAATAGATAAAGAAATATATCTGTATATAGTGCTAACCAATGGGCACAAACAATGATGGGATATTGGCATCTAGTAACCCAGATTTGGAAAGAAACTTGAATTTAATTATTTCATTCTTTTGCGTCTATTATTTATTAACACTAATATCGGGTTTGATTGGATTTTCAAGTTAGCACTTTATGCTTTCTTCTTTAACAGGTAGGAATGCTAATCCATGGTCGGGAATTGAAGATTGAACAGAGTTGAGTCAGCCGTGCAAGTAAATTATGATTAACTTCTACATTAAATAATTAAGAGTTGGAATTGAATTAGAATATAATAGTTTTAAACCAAATGCAACGTGAAAATCTACATGTCGGCAGAATTTTATTTTTTCCCTTAAGAAATTTATGTTGGGGAAGGGGAAGTGGGGGCTGGAGGTAAATTTGTAAAAGTCATGGCTAAATGAAATAGCGCGACTAGGATTATATAAGAACTAACCTTGAGGTTTGTATCCCAACTTCCTGTACATAAGGCACTTCCATCAGCTGACAAACCCAAACAGCTGATCCGGCCCTCATGTGAGTTCTGGAGAGATCCCAAGTTCAAAACAACCTGCCAAAAGCCAATAGGGAAAAAATAAGAGACAGAGACCCTACTAACATGCCTCCAGTCAATATGCTATCTTCAGTCGTCTATGTGCTTAACAAGACAAATTTAGGGTTCACATGCCCAAATTTCTACAAAAACCTGATTCTCATACATCTAATGATGAACTTTCAAGACATCAATATAATAGCTTTTTTCTCTTTGTACTTAGTTTTGAGTAGCTATAAGCACGCAGGATAGGAATTGTGTTCCACAAAGGAAAATGCAACACTCAAAATAGCCAGAGGTGACTAGCTCAAATCTGCGGAAACCTGAATTAAAATATTAATAAGTTCAGAAACTATATCCTCGTGGTTCAATTGGGTAATGGCCTATGATGGTATTAGGGTGCGCAAGTCCTGGAAAAAACTCATTTCTCTTGTTCCATTGACTATTTCGGTTATCTTGAAAGGAAGGAACAAGATGGTTTTTTTATGGTATCAGGTCTCTTTATGCTAGCATCAGAATCATTGGTTCCAGACCATGAGTTTTTTGTTTATCACCTTCTAAACAATGAAGAGGATTTAGGCAACCTCATAGATAGTTTGGCTTTTTGTCACAATTCATAAAGTTTTTTGGTACTTGGATGGCAATCCCTTGGTGCCTTATGGACATGGTTTCTCTCTTTTCCTTTCAAAAAAGAGTATATACCAAAATCACCATTAGAGAACCAGTTGACAGTTTACCTTTGCCAATAAAGTATCCCATACATAGCAATCTCCATTTGAGTAACCAGCAAAGAGGAGTCTTCCTGATATGGAGAATGCAATGGAAGTCACAGTTGGGACCTCATTATCACCATGCTGCTGATAGTATACTTGGAGTTGGTGCCCAGTCCTAATGTCATATAACCTGCAAGTTCCATCATCGGAGCCAGTCCCAAATCTATTGCCATCTGGAAAGAACTTCACAGTATTAACATCTCCCTCATGCCCGTGAAAAGTACGTACTGCTCGACTTGCAACACGAGTATCCCATAAACGAGCAGTTGCATCACATGAACCAGATACAAACATTCTTGAGTTTGATCCACTAATAGAGACACTGAAAAAGTGAAAATGATAACACGGTGAAATCACATGTTCTCCACAAAATGATTTATGCTGCTAAAGAGAGATAATTCTTCATTGTATATGTGAACAATATTTAGTTCGGTACATGGAGTAAACTAATACCTTAGGACATCCGCAGTGTGTCCAGACTGAAACTCTCCTCCAAAAACGGAAGTTCTGAGGCCCGTAGAAATATCCCACAAGACGCACGTCTGATCACCTGAACTGGTAATTAGGTGAGTATCCTCATCTGGAACATACTGACAGCATGAAACATAACCCTTATGTCCACTAAGCATTTTAGCTACTGGTAGATTTCCATCCCTTTCAGTTGGCGAATTGAGGTTAAATATCGAGCATACACTATCAAGACCTCCACAGGCAACAGATTGACCAGATGGAGAGAAAGCACATGTCATAACCCAGGCACAAGGGAGTTTTATGGCATGAGTCTTCTGGCTTGTTAGAGCATTCCACACTATTAACCTCCCATCTTGAGATGCACTGACAATTCGATTCCTCTCGGTAGTCCAATCCAATGAGTATACCTGAAAGTTTCTTAGGGATTACAGTGTTATGTAGCAATCGTCTTAGGAGAAAAAATAGACTACTTATTTTTGCAGGTTCCATATGCATCAATAAAGAAATTAAATACTCCGAGTACCGAGTTCAAATATTCATTTTGTTCACTGCAGTAATTCTTCATTTTAACTAAAAATAAACAGTGTAAAATATGATTAAGCCAGGCTGTAGGACTCTCCTGCTTTTCATATATGCTCTCATGAATGAGGAAATCTATTCTGGCTCCTAATTTTTACAAAACGGTTTTTCTTTCTTTTCTTCCTTTTCCTGTTCGCTATATCAGCAATCTACTTGCAGACTTAATTTTTAACTAAAACATTTATAGTAATAAGTAGCTTTGCACAAGATACACTGATTATACATAAATAGAATCTTTCTTTAGATGAATCACTAGGCTAGCCTATTTGATCGCTTCTCACCGTATAAAGGTAGAGGTCCATGGTCGTAAACCCATTTACTACAACCAAAAAAACAGTTTGTTGACATGGATCACATAATATGCACATTATCGGAAAACAAGCAACGAGTTATAAAGATAACTAAGAACTGACTAAGTGGCTACAAATAACAGACAGCTGAATGCAATCATAAATCACTGTAGTAGCAAGGCAGATTAAATTTTTAAGTAATGCCTATAACTTCTACTTCCTAACTTAATGCAAGGTCAGGCATATCACTTTCATGAAAGCAACTTACACTCATAAACAGGGAAGTGTTTATATCAAAGAATCAAAGTAAGTGTTTAACTCAAAGATCCATCTGGTGGCAAGTTTAAATTAGTACATTATCTAAGATATTGCAAAGGTTCTTGAGTGTTTATACACTAAAATTCATTAAAAAAAAAGAATTCATTAAAAAAAGAATTGAACTTTCTGGTAGTTGAAGATGATCATTCCTTGAACTCTTAAACAGGTTGCAACGAAATGGTTAATCAAATCAGATTCCAGAATTGCAATGACCTCATGATTTATGGTTGGAGCCAATGAAATGCCTCCTTTCATGTCCATGAGCAGCTTCAAATTTTGTAAGCTCATTTTATTTCAACGTGCGGTCAAGCTTGAATGTTTATCAGGAAAGGATCATAACATACAACTCCTGGCTTTATTAGTGAAACTACCCCAGCTGATCACAGGGACATGAGCAGCTCCTAATTTTGTAAGTAAATTTCATTTTAAACTGCGGTGAAGGTCCAAGTTTTATCGCAAAAGGATCATAACGTACAACTCCTTGCTTTCTTTTTTTTCCTTTTTTTGAAGATTACATAACCTGGCTTTATTTAATAGTTAAATAACCCCCAATCAAGTCGTAATCCAGAAACTAACCCCTTATCTTGAGCTACTTTACATTCGAAATTTCCATTATCAATCCTATAATTCCCAAATCCAAAGCTAAACTTTCTCCAAAAACTTTATTTGCCTTGTAATGTGAAGTTTCTAACTTCACCAACTTACATACATTCTGTCAAAGCATAACAATCATAATTTAGAAAAAGAAGTAAATTACTTGGCAACATTATAATTGAATGTGCAGTCAAAGCTTGAATGTTTATCAGGCAAGGATCATAACATACAACTCCTGGCTTTAATAGTTAAACTACCCCAGCTGATCTAAGGGATATGAGCAGCTCCTAATTTCGTAAGTAAATTTCATTTTAAACTGCGGTGAAGATCCAAATTTTATCGCGAATGGATCATAACGTACAACTCCTAGCTTTTTTTTTTTTTTTTACTTTTTGAAGATTACAAATCCTGGCTTTATTTACTAGTCAAATAACACCCAACCATAGTCGTAATCCAGAAATGAACCCCTTATCTTGAGCTACTTTACATTCGAAATTTCCATTATCGATCCTATAATTCCCAAATCCAAAGCCAAACTTTCTCCAAAAACTTTATTTGCCTCGTAATGTGAAGTTTCTAACTTCACCAACTTACATACATTCTGTCAAAGCGTAACTATTATAATTTAGAAAAATAAGTAAATTACTTGGCAACATTATAATTGAACGTGCGGTCAAGCTTGAATGTTTATCAGGCAAGGATCATAACATACAACTCCTGGCTTTAATAGTCAAACTTCCCCAGCTGATCAAAGGGATATGAGCATCTCCTAATTTTGTCAGTATATTTCATTTTAAACTGTGGTAAAGATCCAAATTTTATCGCAAAAGGATCATAACGTACAACTCCTAGCTTTTTTTTTTCCTTTTTGAAGATTACAAATCCTGGCTTTATGTACTAGTCAAATAACACCCAATCATAGTCGCAATCCAGAAACTAACCCCTTATCTTGAGCTACTTTACATTTGAAATTTCCATTATCGATCCTATAATTCCCAAATCCAAATCTAAACTCTCCAAAAACTTTATTTGCCTTGTAATGTGAAGTTTCTAACTTCACCAACTTACACACATTCTGTCGAAGCATAACAATCATAATTTAGAAAAAGAAGCAAATTACTTGGCAACATTATAATTGAATGTGCGGTCAAGCTTGAATGTTTATCAGGCAAGGATCATAACATACAACTCCTGGCTTTAATAGTTCAACTACCCCAGCTGATCAAAGGGATATGAGCAACTCCTAATTTTGTAAGTAAATTTCATTTTAAACTGTGATGAAGGTCCAAATTTTATCGCAAAGGGATCATAACGTACAACTCCTAGCTTTTTTTTTTTTCCTTTTTGAAGATTACAAATCCTGGCTTTATTTACTACACCCAATCATAGTCGTAATCCAGAAACTAACCCCTTATCTTGAGCTACTTTACATTTCTCCAAAAACTTTATTTGCCTTGTAATGCGAAGTTTCTAACTTCACCAACTTACATACATTCTGTCGACACATAACAATCATAATTTAGAAAAAGAAGTATATTACTTGGCAACATTATAATTGAATGTGCGGTCAAGCTTGAATGTTTATCAGGCAAGGATCATAACATACAACTCCTGGCTTTAATAGTTAAATTACCCCAGCTGATCAAAGGGATATGAGCAGCTCCTAATTTTGTAAGTAAATTTCATTTTAAACTGTGATGAAGGTCCAAATTTTATCGCAAAGGGATCATAACGTACAACTCCTAGCTTTTTTTTTTTTTTTTCTTTTTGAAGAGTACAAATCCTGGCTTTATTTACTACACCCAATCATAGTCGTAATCCAGAAACTAACCCCTTATCTTGAGCTACTTTACATTCGAAATTTCCATTATAGATCCTATAATTTCCAAATCCAAAGCTAAACTTTCTCCAAAAACTTTATTTGCCGCGTAATACGAAGTTTCTAACTTCACCAACTTACATACATTCTGTCGAAGCATAACAATCATAATTTAGAAAAAGAAGTAAATTACTCGGCAACCTTATAATTGAAAAACTCAGTAAACTAGACGCAAAACTCATACAAATAAACACCCATACATATATACATACAGGTACAGAAACACGATATAAACAAATTCGAAAGAAAAATACCTTGCCAGTGTGTCCCTGAAGGGTCCTACAGCAAACCAGATCCGTGGGTCCAAAGGTAATAGGAGTTCGCCCCTGCGACCTAGCGTACCCCGCAACTGCAAAAATTTATGCAAAAACCATACAGATCTACACAAAACCGCGAAGGAATAAGAATCAGCAAACACGTTAACAGAAACACGGAAGAGAATTGTAACCGTCAGTATCGAGCAAGAGAAGGCGCTTCTGCTTCAATCGCTCCCTAAGATTGTTGACGGTCTCAGAGGCAGCTACGTGACGCTCTTTTAGCTCGGAAACGGACATGTTTTATATCTCTTTCGAGGTGTATTAGAAGGAAAGCATTTTGTTCCGCAGCTTCTTCTTTGTTGTTGGTACAAATGATGGGAGCTTTAGGGGTGATATATTAGGGTTTTTTCACACTGAGCTTCGGACGGAGAAGAGTGGCGTTAAGGTTACTTTGCCGTTGGTGATTACGGTGGCCTGTTATTAGCTATGAGGAGGTCCGAGAGAGAGAGAGAGAAAGAATGGCAACTGGAAATGATGAGACAAAGTCAGACTGAATTGACTGGCGCCGCCGGTCCCACGTTCGCTTACGTGTCATACTAAATAAACGTTCCGCTATTCCGGTGGAAAGGGTGGTACGTGGGCCCCGTCATTAAATGTATAAAGGGTATGTAATTACATTAATTATTTAAAAGTAAATCAGTATATTTTTTAAATAATTAATAATAGATAAAAAATTCAATATTTGATTTGAAATAGGGTAAAAAAAAAAATTACTGGAAGAGTATTTATAAAAATACTAATAAATCCATCAAAGATTTATAAAAAAGCAAAAATTAATTCCAAATTAAAACAAACAAAAATAAGAACACTAAGAAACAATCACCAAAACAAGAGGAATACGATAAGCCGTGATTATTAAATATAATTAACTTGTTAAAAGCTTTTTGCTTTTATTATTATGAATAATTATTAAGTACTGTAGATTCATGAATGAATTAGCAAGTTTTATATAAACTTGTGGAAACCATCTGATCTTCTCGGAATTATAAACTTACGATCAAATTTGCATGTCGAATGAGCACTCAAAGAGTATCAGAAAATGCATTTTTCATCTGCACGTTGATTACTTACTTTATTCACATTCGCCCTAATGGAATCCAGAAAACTCGACTTTATGGCAAATTATTGAAGCTTCAGGTTGAAGGAAATGGAATTTTTATCAGTGAGAAGCTACTTAACCAGAAAACCCTAAAAAAATATCAGTCCATGGAGCTTCCTTTTTTGTAAGCTTTATAGAAAGAAAACTAACAGATGATTTAGAAAGCTTTTCCAGACAGGAATAAATTGGGACCCAAAATAAAGAAAGAAGAAAAAATGGGAGTAAAGTGAGGTACTGTTCTTGAGGCAGAGTCACTTAGCAGGCAGCATTGCGAGAGAAAGATTTAGTAAAAAGGAGGAAAGCTTTACAAATAAAGGTAATTCTAATTAACAACTCAAAAAAAAAACATACATCATACATATTTTCTCTCTTATTCTATTTTATTTTCATTTTTCTCAAGTACTCGCTCCAGGGTAAACGCAGTCATTGTAACCTGCAAATGATAAACAAATAAAATACGACGTAAGTAGATGCAGTTGAGATTTATAATAAGCTATACTGAAGACGAAGACGAAGAAGTGGTTACTGGGATTCTGGGAGGTTAGAGTTGCAGTTTGAGAGAAATCACAGTTCCATGGATTTTGCCCCGCGGTTTGGTAGTAGAGATTCATGGCAAAAGCGGCATGTGAAGCTACGGTGTTAGGCTCAAAACATTTGCCTCCTGCTTGGATTGGACTGCAATCAATACTCTGCTGGCTGCAAGCATAGTCAAGACTCGCCTGTAATTCAGCATCAGAAACACCGGCCCTCGGCACACACCAAACTGTCGATGACGGTTTCTGAGACCAACACCAAAACACAAATGAAAAATCATGCTTTTTTGTGAGAGTGTTAAGTATTGTTACAGTATGTGTAGTGAACTCACCAGGGTAGTGTTTGACTTTGAGAGACCAGCATCGTAGGCCATTGAAAGGTCGGTTCTGAAAAGACCAAAGGCACGTTCAGAAGCAGGGCCTGGTTTCAAGTCCTCATCATAGAGTGCAAAAATGTATGTGTCCACAGATTTCCCAGGCATCAATGGTGTCCCAACCATCGATCTCAAGTGTGCAATTAAGTTCCCGTTGTACGCCTTTGCATTTTCTCTACTTGGCCCGACCTCATTGCTGTCACCCTGCCATGGCCAACCTGTCTCCGCAACCAAAATCTCAACCTCCTTGAACCCAATTGCTCTCAACGCAGAATACACAGCATCAATCTGCACACCCAACACAAATTTTTATACAAAATTGAAACCAACCACTAAATTTCACCTACCTATGTATATCAATTTTCTAACAACCTGAGCATCGAACATATTCATGTACTTGATGCCGGATCCCGCATCGACTCTACCGGCGTTTGGCTGGAACAGGCAAAATGCTAGCGTTTCGGGTCTCGGGTCGCTCTGGTAGGCGAAGAACGGGTAAGGATTGATGGCGAAAGGGGACTCTGTGTCCTTGAGGAACTGCAGGAGTCCTTTCAAGGTGTTCTGGTAACTCGGTATGAAAAATCCGGAAGATGGCGGGTCGGACAGACTTAACAGTGCCATGGAATGGACGGTTGAGACCTTGATTTTGCCTCCGAGCGAGTTGGCCTCGAGGGCCTTTCGGACATTTTGCATCGCCGGGAGGAGCTGGTTGATCAGATTCTGGTCGTTCGTCATCATCACCTGTCAAGATAAGGCCCCGTCTTACTTCAGTTCATCATTCCGCCATCGAATCGAACTGAATATAATGGAGTTAGCTTTTATGTTGCAACACATATGTTATTTTCTCTAAGCTTGGATTTACTTTCAGTTTCTTGTGTTACGAAACAGTACTCATAAAAGAAAAAAGGAAGAGAAAAGAAGAGGAATAGACAGAGGTAGACAGTTGGATTGATTCTGGTAGTGGGAAAAGATAATGCATTACCTCGTTGCCGACGGTGATGAGAATAATTTTACTGGCAGGGTAGTAAGGCAAGACGTTGGATTGGACCCACTGAGCGGCGGAGTTTGGATCAGAAGCGAGGGCGGGAATGTCACCGTTGGCGGCGCCGATGACGATGCCGATTCCGGTATTGGCCAAGGCCTGAATGATAGCCGGATCTGCGCCGTAGAGCCTTACTTTCTCGATGGAAGTAGATTGCAGGAGCTTGGCCGTAGCCGAGGGTGGCGGCAGATTATCCGCCACCTGCCCATAGTTAACCCCTATAAACGACTCCGATCCTGCAGAGAGAAATATACAGTGAGTAATTGTGAATTAGAATTGAGGCGGCGGAAAGAGTAATCAGAGGTGGTTGGGGAGAGAGAGAGAGTACGTAGAGGTTTAAATGAGAAGAAGTGAACGTACTTGAGAAGGGAAGAGGGGGGAGGAGGAGGAGGAGGAGGAGGAGGAGGAAGGGTAGAAAACGGGAAGCCATGAGAGGAGTGAGAGTATTCGGTGATGGAAGAGAGAGAGAGATTAAGTGGGTGGAAATGAGAAGCGAAGGTAACGGTAACTCTTAACTCGAAGTAAGCTGTGTTTTGTAGCTTGTAGTTGAGGAGTGGTACTGTCATTGTGGAGTGGGGACCCGCTAAGTTCCATTTTTTCTACTCTGGTTGCAGTAAGGAAAGAAAAATCGCAAGTGGACTGGCGTCATGTTACGGCCATGGAATGCTTATCTCTTGTACTCTGTATTTTGATGGAAATATTATTATATATGTAGGTTAATCTAGTCATCCCATTTTGGGTCAGGAGAGAAAACAAAAAGAACATGTCGAACTTATTCTGTAATTTGAATTTTTACTTCAAAGTATTCAGCAACACTCTCACGTGATTAAATGAATAAACGAACCGAACAGAAACTAAACCACTAGTAATTCAATTTTAGGTCACAAAGGAAGGGGCTGGTGGGGAATGTACGTCAGCTTCTTTTACGGGGCCGACATGACACCTACTCAAAATGCGCCAAACTTTTTCCAATACTTACTCTCTAACGCCACTATTATGACGGCTAGACAGAAACTCGTGACTTTTACCCTACCCAGCTCCCCTGCGGAGTTACCCCATAGCCTTTGCAAGTACTGACATGCTTTATTCCATGATTTCCAGTTTATCATCCCATGTGGTTATGGTAGCCGTTCATGTTGTCTATCCCAAAACGAGAGAACCAAGAAAGGGAAGAACCTCTACCTATTCGCTATCCAACATATCCCACCTCTGTTTTGAATCTCACCTCAATGATTCATCTCAAGTATTAAGTTTCCAACACAAAAATTAAGCCATAACCCAAATGTATTTCCAGCAATACAACACCTTTTATCATCATATGATATTCATAAACACATGTGACCCTCCCTGTTACAACAAAATCCTCACCTGTGAAAAACCCCATCGCAAAACCACTCCTCTGAAATAAACATAGCCAAAACAAATTTTTTCTGACCGCAATCAAATAATAGAAGCACAACTAACAAATAATGAATCTGCCGTCCCTCAAGCAGTTCAAGCATGAAACTGAAGTAAAAGATCAAGGAATTTAATTCCGTATTTGCGAACAACTTCGTTACCCTCCAGAATGAGAGACAGGAGTGGTTTCGAACTTTCCGTCCTTCATTACATGACTGAACTGTTGCGGTAAAGCATGCTCCACCTACAACACAAACAAACAATACATGTAGGTAAAAAATTAAATCAAAATGACATTTTAATTCTAAGTTTATTCCACATTCAGTTCAAGTTAGTTTCTTCTATGATTCATCACTAGATAATTGGGAATAGAAATACAATTAGAAATGCTCGTGCGGTTGATCTAATTACGAATGTAGGAAGAAAGCTCTATATATCAAATAATGAAGTTCTAAAAATTGAATGGGAATAAAGCTGACTTCTACTGGCACAACATAGGTTCACAAACAAAGATCTCAAGTTCACTTCTATATTGATATCATAAGAAATTGATGCAGTGTCAACTTATACTAAAAGAAAAATGTAGGAAGAACCATAAAGAGTCATATCAATTACTTGTTTAATCTAAAGTAAAGGCTCCCCCAAGACTGAAGAGATCGGAGAGTTTGGACATCATATTGTCAAAATCAATTAATAACTGTCAGTTCCTTTAAATATATCACATGCTAATTGTGATTATTTTGATAGAGGCCCTGCACTACTTTTATGTATTATTTCCCTCTCCTGTTTATAACACAGGCGTACCATGTCCATAGTTCTGGTTAATAGGAAACGTACAAGAGAAAGTCAATAGAAACTAATAATCGACAAATAAAAACTGTTAACTATGATTGAGTTTTCAAATACACAGAATGAAACTGCAAGGAAAAATTGCATTTATATGCATTATGTTAAAATGGTCAACAAGAGAAACAGAACCTCACAGGAGGCATGAATTACGAACTGCGCGGAAGCAGCAGCATAGAAACAAATAGCACATTCTAAATAATGGTGTAGCCAGAGGATGGGAAGATAATAACCTAAGCATACTCTCGAGTGATGATAGAAGATTAATAAACCAAGAGGGGAATGCATGAAGCATTAACTGAGAGGAGTATCAAAACATACCCAGTCACCATCAGGATCAGTACCAGGCACCATCACATTAATCTCACTTGACTTGGCTGTTGTTATGGACGTACCCAGTGCATCTTTGCTTAGATATAACTGGCATCCTCCTGTATTGTCCACTGAAATTGTTGGAGCTGATCCCTACAGTTTCCAAAGAATTGGGTAGAAATAACTCATGGTACATAATCGCCCAATAAAATATGCATCAATATATAGTTAGATTTTGCTTCTCTATATTCTAAAAGAATAAGCAACAACATAGATAAATAACCTGCATGGTAATTTGTGAAAGTAAAGATATGAACACTTGAGCAACTCGACAGGCATAACAGAATTACAGTAAGTACGTATAATACCTTTCTTCTATAGAAATAAAAAACAAAAGAAATACCTGACATTGCACCTCAACACCATTGCAATTCACAATCTCGCAAGCAGCCACGACATCCTGTTATCCAACGCGAAGAGCATTAACACGCACGTATTCTATGTGTTTATGCATTTAAAAGACAAGGGATTTTCCCTGAAATATCCCATACTAACCAGGAATACAACTCCCATCTTGGTACATTTGTCAACAGTTATATTGTTCACTTTCCCTGCCCATATTTAGCATGATAATAAGTTGGTTAATGTTTAATGGGTACTAACGAAAAAATACTTTCACCGAATTAGTAGGAAAGGGAATGGTTCTTCCATTGCTCTAAGCACCAACAGAAGGGCGAAAAAGAACTAAGACAGAAAATTCAGTGTCCAAATTATTAAAAATTACCTTGAATCTGCAAAACAGAATCCTTGCATCCAAAAACATAAACAGATTGTTTTGCATCGCAGTCGTCAATAACCAGGTTTTTTCTGCCAATTTGATTCTCAACAACCCACCTACAGAGCTCATAACGATAACAAGTCACATTCCTTCATAGGTGTCAATTATGACAGACTCAAAATAATCTGTGAGTGATGAATACTCACTTACGACCCATTTGAAGCTCCAGCTTTGGAGGCCCTGCTTTTGAAAAGGAAGGTGAGGTAGTACGTTCTTTTTCAACGGCACCAACAACACTAGTTCTATCTGCACGGTTCTTAGTCTTCATATCATTTGTAACCTTTCTTAAACCTAAGGATCCAGAGAATATATTAGCATAGTTTCAAACCAACAAAAGGAAAAGAAAAAGAATAAGATTTGAAACCAAAAACTACCTGACGTTACAGCCTTGGAATTAATTTCTTTGAAAACGGCAGACATCCCTTGTTTCTGGCTTGATGATGAAGGCTTAGATGACTCAGAACTGAAGAGAGAAGCTGGGGGTGCAGGTGGAGGAGCAGGGGCACTTGCTGTCGGAGCTTTTGATGGAGCAGCAACTGCCTTGCCAGTAGCACTCCAGACTGGACCTAGAGGGTAATTGCTTTTAACATAGTCTCTCAAACCGGGTAAAAATAGCTCCTTCAAAGCTTTGGCCCATTCCACATGATTTGGATCTTTGTTTCTATACTCTACAAGAACCTAAATTGCAGAATAAAAAATGTCACTACCAATGAGAAGTAATTTATTTGCTAATCATTGTACAAATTCTGAATGGTTACGGGGGTTGAAAAGAACAGATGGCATCATGGTAACTGAGTAACTATAACAGAATGAGGGTACCAACTTCGTTCAGAATCATTACCAAATAAATACATCTTACAAGCTAAATTACTTTGCCACTGTTTTTTATAGAAAAGAAAAATATTAATCCTTCGCAAGGTACCAAAGGACTATTTGTCCATATATAGTAGTGTCATATGCAACTATGTACATGACAAGGATATACTAAGTCAACTAACTCTCCTTCATTAGTGAGGCTACAACCAGTTTAACCACAATAGGCTGAGATGAAGAGGAAGTTCTTAATCCAGTGAAAGGGATTATTTCCACTTCAAGAGCCATTCTATTCCTATCTCTCCAAGTTAGCCAGAAAATAGGGGAAGGAATAAGAGCTACCACCCACTTCCTAGCCTTATCATCCTCTATCCTATTTCCCCCCCAAAGCTCATACATCCACAGCTTCCCTGTGTATAAGCACCACAAAAGGATGTGACTAGGCTTGTCGTCGGTATAGTTAGCAAGAAGAAGCTATTCACAAGAATTTTGCCCCTTTCTTACACTGTCGATGGTGGAATTCCTTTTTGTTACTCTTTTTTTAGCAGAACCAAATATGAAGCTATATACAAAAAATTAAAGAAAGAGAACACATAAAACGCCAATTAAAGATAACTTATAGGAGGTCATAGCAAACTTTTAACAATAGAACCCTAGCTTCCTTCCAATAAAAGTTGTTACATCTACCTCATCTACTTCATAATCAAAAGCATGCATGCCAA